TCTCAGCTCACTGCAACCTCCACCTCCCAGGTTCAAGAGACTCTCCTGCCTCAGCCTCCTGAGTAGCTGGAATTACAGGTGCCTGCCACTGCACACAGCTAATCTTTGTATTTTTAGTAGAGACAGGGTTTTGCCATGTAGATCAGGCTGGTCTTGAACTCCTGATGTCAAGTGATCCTCCCGCCCCAGCCTCCCAAAGTGCTGGGATTACAGGTGTGAGCCACTGCGCCCGGCCAGAAATAAACTTTTTTCTCCACACTTCTGACACCAAATATGTGGGGTTTTCCACACCAAGTAATTCTCCAATTCTGTGTAGACACCCATTGGGTTTCCTACAATTCATTCCTGACATCAATTACCCAGAGCTGGTATGTAGGCTCTGTCCCACAAAACTGAGCCTGCCCTCATTTCAGATGTCAGTAGCAAGCACCAAGTTCCTAGGTTACCCATACTTCTGTCCAACGTGGCTATAAAGTCAGGGGGGTTCCCACAAATCCCCTCCCTTTCAGGTTTCATAATTTGTTAGAATGACTCACACATCTCAGGAAAGTGTTTTACTTACTACTTCCTGGCTTATTATAAAGGAGACAACTCAGGAACAGCCAAAAGGAAGAGATAAAGAGGGCAGTCAATGTGTGGGGGATGGGGTGCAGCACTTCCATACGCTTTCGGGGTGAGGGACGCTGCCACCCTCCCATGACCTCCATGTGTTCATCAACTCAGAAGCTCTCCATAGTCCAGGTGCGGTGGCTCATGCCTGTAGTCCCAGCACATTGGGAGGCTGGGGCGGGAAGATCACTTGAGGTCAGGAGTTCAAGACCAGCCTGACCTACATGGTAAAACCCCATCTCTACTAAAAATACAAAAATTAGCTGGGTGTGGTGGTGTGCGCCTGTAGTCCCAGCTGCTCAGGAGGCTGAGGCAGGAGAATCACTTGAACCTGGGAGGTTGCAGTGAGCTGAACTCGTGCCACTGCACTCTAGCCTGGCACTCTCAAAACAAAACAAAACCCCAGGCTTGGTGGCTGATGCCTATAATCCCAGCATTTTGGGAGGCTGAGGCTGGATCGCTTGAGGTAAGGAGTTCGAGACCAGCCTGGCCAACATGGTGAAACCTTGTCTCTACTAAAAATATAACAAATAGCCAGACGTGGTGGCACGTGCCTGTAATCCTAGCTACTCGGGTGGCTGAGGCAGGAGAATCGCTTGAACATGGGGCTGGAGGCTGCGGTGAGCTGAGACTGACAAGAGTAAAACTGTGATACTGTTTCAAAAACAAACAAAAAACTCTTCAAACCTACTCTCATTTAGGATTCTTTTTTTTTTTTTTTTTTTTTTTGAGACCAAGTTTCACTCTTGTCACCCAGTCTGGAGCGCAACGGCACGATCTTGGCTCACTGCAACCTTTGCCCCCAACATTCAAGCAATTCTTCTGCCTCAGCCTCCAGAGTAGCTGGGATTACAAGCATGTGCCAACACGTCTGGCTAATTTTTATATTTTTAGTAGAGACGGGGTTTTGCCTTGTTGGCCAGGTTAGGCTTAAACTCCTGACCTCAAATGATCTGCCCGCCTCAGCCTCCCAAAGTGCTGGCGTGACAGGAGAGAGCTGCCACATCTGGCCAATCCCAGCACTTCGGGAGGCCAAGGTGGAAGGATGGCTGGAAGCCGGGAGTTCATGACCAACCTGGGCAACATAGCAAGATCCCATCTGTCAATCACTCAATCAATCAGCCGGGCATGGTGGCACATGCCTGTAGTCCCAGCAACTCAGGAGGCTGAAGTGGGAGGATCCTTTCAGCCCAGGAGTTTCAGTACCACTAGAATCCACCTCCCGGGTTCAAGCGATTCTCCTGCCTCAACCTCCCAAGTAGCTGGGATTACAGGCATGTGCCACCACGTCCAGCTGATTTTTTCGTATTTTTAGTAGAGACGGGTTTCTCCATGTTGGTCAGGCTGGTCTTGAACCGCCGACTCAGGTAATCAACTCGCCTCAGCCTCCCAAAGTGCTGAGATTACAGGTGTGAGCCACCGCGCCCAGCCCGTGATGATATCTTAAAAACCACTTGGATCATCCCCAAGCTCAAGTCACAGCCCAGTTCAATTAAATCGGAACAGGACCTGTGGTTCAGGATTAGGTAGTTTGTTAAAGCCTCCAGGTGATTCTAATGGTACTGTACCATTGCACTCCAGCCAGGGCAACACAGCAAGAACCTGTCTCCAAAAAAAGAGAAAATGCCCACGAGGGAGACTGCAGAACTAAATCAGGGGAGGGGCAGTGAGAAAATGAGATTTGCACGGCAGCCCAAAAGAGGAAGTTAGGTTAGGGGAGCATTGCTGCATTAGTCTGTTTTTCTACTGCTAGAAAGAACTGCCTGAGACTGGGCAATTTATAGAGGAAAGAGGTTTGGCACGGCACAGTGGCTCACGCCTGTAATCCAGCATTTTGGGAGCCTGAGGTGGGCAGATCATGAGGTCAGGAGTTCAAGACCAGCCTGGTCAACATGGTGAAACTCCATCTCTACTAAAAATACAAAAACTAGCCAGGCATGGTGGCATGTGCTTGTAATCCCAGCTACTCAGGAGGCTGAGGCAGGAGAATCGCTCAAACCCGGGAGGTAGAGGTTGCAGTGAGCCAAGATCTTGCCACGGCACTCGGGCCTGGGTAACAGAGCATGACTCTAAAAAAAAAAAAAGAGGTAGTTTCATTGACTCACAGTTCAGCATAGCTGGGGAGGCCTCAGGAAACTTACAATTATAATGGAAGCAAAGGGGAAGAAAACACCTTCTTCACAGGGTGGCAGGAAGACGAAGAGCTGCAAGAAGGTGGAAGAACCCCTTATAAAACCATCAGATCTCGTGAGAACTCATTTGCTATCAGGAGAACAGCACGGGGGAATGGCCTCCGTGATTCAATGACCTCCACCTGGTCTCTCCCTTGATGTGTAGGGATCATGGAGATTATAATTCAAGATGAGATCTGGATGGGGATACAAAACCTCACCATATCAATTGTGACTACCTGGGGTCAGGGCCGTCCAGGCAGAGGCAGAGGGAAGAACTTGTGCAAGCCTTGGGGGAGGAACCTGCTATGTTCAGATAGCAGCAAATAGGCCAGCGTGGCTGGAAGAGAGCAAGCGTGGTGAGGCAAGGGGGGAGATGATGGGTCAGACCATGCAGGGCCCTGGGGGCCACAGGAAGGACTTCGGCATTTACTCCAAGTAAGGTGGGAGCCACTGAAGGTTCTAGGCAGAGGAGAGATGTACTCTGCCTCAGGTGCTCACAGGTGCCCTCTTGCTGCTGTGGGGAGAACTGACCTTTTTACTAGACATAGTTGAGGGAAACAGTGTCCTCCCTACCTCCCATATAGCAGAGCTTTTCAAGGTCAACGTGACGGGCATGGGACCTACTGAGAGGCAGCTACAGGCCCGGTGAGTTTCCGCTACATCTTGAACAGCCCTTGACTGACATCTGCTTAGCTGCAAATCAACCCCCGTCCCAGAAATCATTTCACTAACAGAAATAAAAGCACAACTGCATTTGGGCATGACAAATTTAATGTTTTCTTGTGGAGAAAAGAGCACATCTTCCCAAACTGGACATCAAGGAATTGCTACACAGAACCACATCCAGGATAGAAATGACCAGCCAGAGCCCGCTCAGTAGTGTAATTCAGAATTGTCAGGGAGGAGCCAGTAGGGGAATTATCGCTTTCACACTGAGACCACATTTTACCTTTTACTTGTTTTTTCTAAATGGAGCAGGAGAGAAAGATGCTAGAACGTGATCTTGGGAGGAGTTTCCCCGAGTCCTCCCAAAAAGAAGGAAAAAAACAGAACTCCAAACCGCTGTGGTCATGGCAACTTCCCACCAAAACTGCCCATGGAAACACAAGCGGCTAAAAGTGAGTGTTAAGAAGGAAGGCACTGGTAGGTGGATGGTCCTGGCTTCAATCCCTGGAGCTGGAGAGGGATTTTCCCACGGCCTTTGGTTTAATGTGTCTGTAAACTCAACAAACCTCCATTCCCCAGAGGTAATCTGCAAAAACATCAATTTCACCTAGAGACCATCTCCAATTAAACCTCACTCCCAAAGTCATTCAGTGTAACATTTGCCTTATTTTTAAAAGAAACAATGTTCCCATATGAATCCCAGTCTTTGTGAGAATCCTGAGGCAGCCTCTCAGCTGCTACTTGATGTTGAACTCTTGAAAAAATCTTATGTAAACAGAAAGCTGAGGCCATGTCAGGAGCAGGATGTAGCCCAAACTTTCTTATCACACAGGAGATGACAGGTCAGCTCTGCCCTATTCAAGACAATCTGATCCACTTTTTTTTTTTTTTTTTTTTTGACAGCAGTTTAGACACAATTGGCCAACAAAACCAGCCTGGCCAACATGGTGAAACCCTATCTCCAATAAAAATACAAAAATTAGCCAGGTGTGGCGGCAGGTACCTGTAGTACCAGATACTCAGGAGATGGAGACAGAAGAATTGCTTGAACCCAGAAAGTGGAGGATGCAGTGAGCCAAGATCACGCCACAGCATTTCTGCCTGGGCGGCAGAGCGAGACTCCATCTCAAAAAAAAAAAACAAAAAAAACTTCAACAGTCCATATTGCATCTTAAGAAGTCTTTTTGAAGCTGCTTTAGTTTGACTTTAGTGTTAAAGCAACCAAAAAATTTTGTCTCCCGCCCACATTCTCAGATACCCTCACTTTGTGTGTTTATAGGATTTGTCCATTTCACCTCAGTCATCTAATTTGTTGGTATAAAAAGATACCCTCTGCTGGGTGTGATGGCTCACGCCTGTAATACCAGCACTTTGGGAGCCTGAGGCAAGTGGACCACCTGAAGTCAGGAGTCTGAAACCAGCCTCGCCAACGTGGTGAAACACATTCTTTACTAAAAATATAAAATTTAGCTAGGTGTGCTGGCACGTGCCTGTAATTCCAGCTACTCAGGAGGCTGAGGCAGGAGAATCGCTTGAATCCCCGAGGTGGAGGTTGCAGTGAGCTGAGATCGTGCCATTGCACTCCAGCCTGGGCAACAAGAGTGAAACTCCGTCTCAAAAAACAAAAAACGAAAAACAAGATACCCTCACTCCAAAGTTCTAAGGGTCGCCTCTGGTATGAAGTAACCGGGGCTCCCTAGAAATAAATCTAAACTGGAACCAGGCTTTCCCCCTTACACCTACCCCAGGGAAGAGGCTGAGCTCATGAAAGCTGCAGGAAGTCATTTTGGCTGCAGGGACTGGGAGAAGAGACATAGCCTCCGAAATGAGGTTGGGGCGCTGGGAACATAAAACCTCCGCTCAGCCATCCTCACAGTGCTGGTCCTATTAAGGGGTGTTGGTTAGTGTTGGTGAGAAAAAAAAAAAAAAAAAGGTGCTGTGCCACCAGAGTTTGGAATTTGATGGGCAGAAAGTGTCTCTGAACTGGAGGTCGATGTAAATCTTCACACTGCACACATAACCTCTGAGCAGAAGCCCCCGCAGGTGGGGACTCCAGGACTCCAGCTTCATGGACTCCCTGGCACTGATCACAGCCCGTGGCCCCCATTCACATAAGGGCCTGCCACTCCCAGGCTGTCCAGAAAGTACAAGCAGTGGCAGCAGGTTACTCAACCCTACCTCCTCGCCCCTTCCGCCCAACCCCCAGCGTCCCCTAGAAGCGACCCCTAGTTTGAGGCTGCAGTGAGGTATGGTTGCACCACTGCACTCCAGCCTGGGCGACCGAGCGAGACCGTCTCAAAAAAAAGAAGTGACTCCTCCATTAGCAAAAATTGTCACATCCCCCAGCCCTGCCGATGACAAGGATTGGGAAATGGTCATCGCGTCTCAAAGGGCCCCCCTCAAGTGGGAGAAGCCCAGATGCTTGTATCAGAAAGCCGCCAACAACTGCCTGCTGTGGCTGGGTGCGTTGCTTCATTTCCTTCTCTAGCAGGATGAATGATTGGGCAAGAACTTGCTTAAACACAACCAGTCAAACAGGGCCTGAGCAGGAAGGCCCAGGCTGCCGGCTCTGAGGTTAATTAACTTCTGGCAGAAAGCCCAGAAAGGGAGTGCTAGGGGTTGGGTGAGTCTCTGCCCCATCGAATGTGGTCCATAGTTCCAGAATTCAATTCAGGATCAGCGATGCAGTGAACACAGCAAAACAGTGGCAGGGTTGTGGGTGACGTGGATCTTGGGGGAAGCTTGGAAGGCACTTCTGAGGTCCCTGAAGCTGGGGATGCGGGGTTGAGGGGATCTGTCTCCCTGTCCCTCCTACAATGGGGAAAGGCTGCTTTAATGCTGCTTTTCCAAGTAGAGGGTATGCAGGGGTCAAAATCACCATCCCACCGTGGAGTCCAGAAAGTTTGTGGGGCAGGCTCAGAGACCAGCCTGCAGGACCTGAGAAAGAGGCGCTGCCTTCCCTTGATGGACTCCAAGAACCCACACTGTGCAAGGAAAAAGATGAATCGCCCTCCACCAGCTTGGGAATATCAGTCTGCCCAACCCAGAACAGACCTGGAAAATGGTTCTAAGCCAGAAGGCACCACGGATGCCCCTCCATCGGATGGGGTGGGACATGTCGCCCATGGCCACCTTCCTTAATGAACCCTGAAAAGCAGCAAGCTCAAGCATGCCAATGTCCCCGGACCCCCGCCTGCCATGCCGGGCTGAGTCCCCACGGTCTGCCACCTCTCACCGGGGCTGCCTGAGCATCCTGGCAGCCATGGTGATGCAGTGAAGGAGCGAGCCATGCAGGAGTTGGGAGGCAGTTGACAGGAGGGAAGGGATTGCCCTGAGCTTGAGAATAACCACTGTGGCTCATGCCTCAATCACAGTCCCTGCCGAGGCAGGAGGGGGGTGGGGGGGGTTGGGGCCATCTCTAGCAGCTGCAGCTGCTGGGCTGGGGGGCTGGAGCATCCCCCAGGGCCGGCCCTTTCCCGTTGCTGCCTGAGCTGGAGCTGGGTTCCAGGGACTCGTTCATCTTCTCACAGATGACATCTACCAGGCGCTCGAAGACCTGCTTCACATTGACATTCTCCTTGGCGCTGGCTTCAAAGAATTCGAAACCTGGATGAAAGTTAAGGTGGGGACACTTGTGAGACTCCCTAGCGGCAGAGTATCAGCTGTGGCATCACAGAAACCTGGGTTATAAGCCTCATTCTGCCCTTTATCCTGCTGTGGGATCTTGGCTGAGTGCCTTTGCCACTTCAAGCCTCAGTTTGCTCCTCTGTAAAATGGGAACAATGATCGTACCAATGATAAAAATCTGTGACAAGCCAGGTGCAGGGGCTTATGCCTGTAATCCTGTCACTAAGGGAAGCTTAGGTGGGAGGATCGCTTGAGGCCAGGAGTTCAAGACCAGCCTGGGCAACATAGCAAGGCTGTGTCTCTACAATAAATTGTTTAAAAAATTAGATGGGCAGCCAGGCGTGGTGGCTCATGCCTATAATCCCAGCACTTTAGGAGGCCGAGGAGGGCAGATCATTTGAGGTTAGTAGTTTAAGACCAGCCTGACCAACGTGGTGAAACCCTGTCTTTACTAAAAATACAAAAAATTAGCTGGGCATGGTGGCACACGTCTGTAATCCCAGCTACTTGGGAGGCTGAGGCAGAAGAAGTGCTTGAATCTGGGAGATGGAGGTTGCAGCGAGCTGAGATCATGCCACTACACTTCAGCCTGGGTGACAGAATGAGACTCTGTTTAAAAAAAAAAAAAATTAGATGGGCATGGTGGCATTCACCTGCAGTCTCAGATACTTGTGAGGTTGAGACAGAAGAATCGCTTGAGCCCAGGAGGTCAAGGCTGCAGTGAGCCATGGCTGTACCACGGCATCCCAGCCTGAGCAGTGGAGCAAGACCCTGTCTCTCTCTTTTTTTTTTTTTTTTAGGACGGGGTTTCACCATGTTGGTCAGGCTGGTCTTGAACTCCCAACCTCAGGTGATCCGCCCGCCTTGGCCTCCAAAG